TATTCAAGTAACACAATGGTAATATGGCCGTTGCAGCAATATACGTATATATTATTTCACTCGTGTATATAATTGTACGCCTTTAATGTTACTACTTTCTGTTTTTACAAAATCTGTCAAAAAAGTATTCTTTGTAAAATGGCTATTAAAAGAGGTCTTAATTAAAAAATTAAAAATGTATTAAAAGAATGTGTGTATGTGTTTGTGCCTACAGTAAGAAATGCACAAAACCTTAACTCCTGAACTAGTAAACTTCCAGGAGCCAATATCTCCCCATATCATCAGTTGTATAATTTAACAATTTATCTTAGTTTGTTAGTTAGTCCTTTTTGTTTAGAAGAAGTTATACATACAGATTACACCTCAACGGTAGTCTCACACTTTATTCAAGAAAAAAATCAACAGAAATTACTTGTAAGGTAATTAATTATGAAGTCGGTTTTCGACAAAAAAGTTATTGATTTACTGCTAATAGTTGTTACAAAATAGTTACAATAGCAAATGAATGAAATATTTATTGCCGTTTTTATGTTATTTTGTTTATGGTAAGCTGTTATTCTAGTTTTATATACTACGTTTATAGTTTTTTAATGTACCGCTTTGCTTTTGTATTAACACCCGCGCATCCTCCCAGTGAATATTTACGATGTATATACCACAGAGAGTACTTGCTTTACCGAAATAAAGAGTAAATCTATATATATATATATATATATATATATATATATATATATATATATATATATATATATATATATATATATATATAAATAGTTACAATAGCAAATGAATGAAATATTTATTGCCGTTTTTATGTTATTTTGTTTATGGTAAGCTGTTATTCTAGTTTTATATACTACGTTTATAGTTTTTTAATGTACCGCTTTGCTTTTGTATTAACACCCGCGCATCCTCCCAGTGAATATTTACGATGTATATACCACAGAGAGTACTTGCTTTACCGAAATAAAGAGTAAATCTATATTATATATATATATATATATATATATATATATATATATATATATAAATAGTTACAATAGCAAATGAATGAAATATTTATTGCCGTTTTTATGTTATTTTGTTTATGGTAAGCTGTTATTCTAGTTTTATATACTACGTTTATAGTTTTTTAATGTACCGCTTTGCTTTTGTATTAACACCCGCGCATCCTCCCAGTGAATATTTACGATGTATATACCACAGAGAGTACTTGCTTTACCGAAATAAAGAGTAAATCTATATATATATATATATATATATATATAATATATATACTAGCGACTTACCCTCGCTCCGCTCGGGTTCGTCCCTGGGGTGGGGTCTGGGAGGACCACCCTTATCCTTATCACTTAGGGGTATGTAAAATAGATAGTAGCCGATTCTCAGACCTACTGAATACGTATACAAAATTTGGTCAAAATCGGTAAAGCCGTTTCGGAGGAGTATAAGAGTAAGATATATAAATGAATCCCTATTTCCCTTGGTCACGCTATCACGCGTGAACGGCTGGACTTTTTTTGTTGTGTTAGTAATTGTCAGGAGAAGGTTCTTATGAAAGAAAAATTTGAGAAATGAACGAAAAAAAAATGCATATGGCTAACGCTGGCTAATAACTATTTATATCTATTTAAAACGTACCTAGAGACGAAACCGAGCGAAGCGAGGGTGAGCCGCTAGTTTTATATACCTACATATTTGATGTACATATTATAGTATTATTTCTAGCAGAGTGTTGATTTACAAGTAAGGGAGACGGGTCCTTAAATTAACTTTTTTAATTAGAAAACTTCCAGGAAAATTGTCCATTTTTCTTTCCCAATCATATATTTGTTCAATCAGCCTTTTATAATTTCATTTACTTCTTAGACAAAACGCATATACTTAGTATGAATAATTAAAAGATTGCAAAAACAAATCGAGTGTGATAAATTAAGTAGGGTAGGTTGCCACAAGTCACGGTACTTGTTGTCACAAGTCACTGTTGACTCTCTGTCCTCGTCGGAGACACGATATGGGCACAATAAAATAAATCTTTCTTCCCACCACAATTTTCCAGAACCCATTCTTCATTAGGTTTACTACTTGGCTAAGTTTCACAATATATTAAACATTACGTATCTTCAGAATAATTACATTTTACTTCTCTGATACTCACTTATTTTTCTTACTTTTACTTTTTGGTTTTCGTCGTTCTGCCAAAGCATTTTGCAACCGGGATATCTGTTAAAACTGCGAAAAATCTCTTCTTTGATTCGAAGTTATTTGTTTATTTGGAGCTTTTGGATAGAGTCATATACTTTCAGGCGTTGGTAAATGATCACTGTGACAACTAACCCCAAAATGTTTAAGACAACTTGTACCAGACATTTAAAAAAATATCATCACACTTATAAACTCTAAAACGAAGTATACAGAAACCACTTGCACACTAAAATTAAACTTAAATATTTTTTCATTCAAATTCTATAAGAAATAGGAGAATGCATGAATGAACATATTTAATACCCAGATTCAAAGTACATACTAAAATTTAATTATCTTAAATATTTTTTTTATTTTTTAAAACACACTCTGATACAATAATCTGGCGACCATGACACTTTCTAATGTTAGTAGTATAATATATAGCACTAGCATGCATAATAATTTGCCAATATTTGCGTTACATAAATCCTTTAATAAGACTTGAGACAACAAGGACACCTTCTTCTAACTAGCGACTCATCCTATTTTCGCTCGGGTTCATCCCTAAGTACATTCTTACGATTAGTATAGAATGGATAGACTATATAATATACACGTAGGTATAATGAGTTTTATATCGATTACGTGAGACGTGATTGATTCCTTATACAAACTTCCAACCTCTCTTTTCATCCCCTTAAGGGATGAGTTCCGGAATAAAAACTACCCTATGTCCTTTCCAGGGTCTTAAACTATATCTATACCAAATTTCATCTAAATCGGTTCAGCGGAGTAAACATGAAAAGATAACAGAGAGACAGACAAACATAGCCAGACAGACGGATAGACAGAGTTGCTTACGCATTTATAATATTAGTATGGATTATTATATTATCATACATGGCCATTGTATGTTTAAAACGGAAAGCTGGCATATAAATATAAACGTTACGCGGAAACGGTGTCAGCCAAACCTTCCCACAATGTCAAATGTATAAAAATAAATTAATTTAAAACACTACGGAAGACATCTCGTCTACACATGACCTTAAGAAATTTCACACGGATTTACGTTTTTTGAAAAAAATAATAATATCTGTAGCTTTGTTTGAATTTTAATACGTAGTGATGTGACAAACTCTCTTTTTCACTTTTTGTGTGATAATCCTATTTTCATTTCCTGTCTGATAAACTCTCATTCTCATTTTGAAGCTTTTTCTCATATAAGGCGGAGAGTTATTACGTTAGTTCGTTTTTCATCCGCCAAAATTGAATCATAAATACAAACATAATTGAGTGACACTTTAAATCTGCGGCGTAACTATTAGGGAAGCATCCAAAAATAAAGGAAACAACATGTGCGTTATGTCAGTGCGACTTGTTAAAAATATCCGGTCACCCAACCGCGCAACTGTCGCCACTGGTCTATTTATTAGAATTCCGCCTAACCTTGTACCAATTGAAGAAAACCTGACAAAATAATCAAAAATACTCTATGGTTATGCTTAAAAATACTCAATGAAAATGCTGAAAATATCAATGTTCTTAGCCTTTTTATCTTAAGTTTAGAACCAAATTAATTTTTTTTTTAAAAAGAGAAAACTAAACTGTAGCACTCGTTGATCAATGTCTACTTCCGAAAGTGAGTTTTCATGTGATGTAATCATTCACGTTGAAATTAATAACAATTTTACTATTTAATTGAGGAAAAAGTCGCCTTTGAATATATTTAAATAATATTTTAATATTCAGCGAAGATATTAGTAATGCACGCCGAAACCCTTATCTATTTTTGTATAATACGTATACGAGTATGTTTATTTCGTACTTTTGTATAATAAAGATAAAATATTGCGTTGGTTTCAACCAATTGTAAAACAACAAATGAATCCACGTGCTAAAGCTAGTATACTATAATGTTAGATTGTACATTATATTATAAGCTGTTATTAAACGAGATCAATAGTGTCAGGAACTCTGAACATCAAGTTTTAAAATATGTTTAAACTTCTTTTGTGTAATTTTTACCATATTTGGCCTACTTATTACTATATAACCTACGAGTACTACAATAAGGTACCGTAAAACTACAATTTTGTGTGCTTTTAGCCAAAAAAATGTAGGCCAAACACGACAAGGCTAACGGAGCTTTATTTGCATAAGATAGTACCTAAGTAGGCGAAAAGTGCTAAAAAACAAGTCATTATGTATGCAAATGTTTTCTATACATATAAAAAAACTCCAAGTCGAATCTGTACATTAAATATTTTTTTGGAAAATCTAATTGAAATAGACATTATTATCGATACAGAGTCCGAATCTATAGTTTTTAGAATTTTTGTCTCTCTGTCTGTCTGTCTGTTCCCGCATCACGAGAAAACCACTAGACAGATTTTGATGAAATTTGGTATGATGATAGCTGGTTATCCGGGTCAACATATAGGATACTTTTTACCGCGGGAAAATATCTCATTTCTCAGAAAAAATACAAAAACTGCATTGTAAGAGTAGACTAATATGTTAACCTAAGAATTTGGTTTTTGGTCTTCTGAACGCGTGCGGAGCCGCGGGCAATGCTAGTTACCTATAAAAATGGAATATACAGCCCGCATAATCTTTACAGCATAAGTAGCGTTAAAAAGATTACAACTGATTGCTGATAAGTTCCCTGTTGCAAGGATTCAGTGCATTGACCCTTGATTGTTTACTCGTAAGCCTATCATTTTAAATTCAATTATGTATGAATGAATGACAATAATCTTGTAACGATTTAAAAACGTAAATCTTATTGTACTGTGTTTGCTCCTTTCTAGGGTCCTGAGATGGTTCGCGTATCGAAGTTCTATAAGGAAGCAAAAAATGGACGATATCTTCGCTATCTACATGAAGACACACGGACACTTTATGAAACTTTTCGTAGAGGTGTTAAAGAGTCGAGTAAGTTATAAAAATATAATTACACTAGTGACTGACTCTTGCTCCGCTTGGGTGCGTCCTTAGATGCTTTTTGTATGTGTATATATATATATATATATGCCACCTTTTGGCAGCTTTGAATATTAAAAGTAGCGTATGTGTTACTCCAGGTCATAATCTCTGCGTACTAAATTTTATCTAGCCGTTTCAGCGTGAAGGAGTAACAAACCCACATACATACAACTTGGGTTCGTCCTTAGTTACATTTTAACGTTTAGTATAGGTATATGTTGACCCCAATGATCAGCTACCATCATACCAAATTTCATCAACATCTGTGCAGTGATTTTCTCGTGATGCGGTCACAGATATACAGACAGACAGACAAAAATTCTTATAACTATAGATTCGGTCTCTGTATCGATAACAATGTCGGTTTCAATAAGATTTTCCATAAAAAAACAATGTACAAATTCGGGTCAGTTAGAATTTTATTACATGTACATATAGATTATATTATCCTTAGCGATTTATTTTAGTTATTAACTAGTTTTCAACAATATTTCCATGTGTATAGTTACCATTTACATATTCAACATCAGTATAAATAAGCCTTTTCACACACTTTTATAGGCAGAGTGCCTTTTGTTGTACCAATCCTAGAACTCGTCTGGTTTCCCTTTGAGTTTCCGCTTGTTAAAGATAAATGCGATAATACACACATTACCGAACGATGTTAACATTCACCAAGTTGTTTGGGTCACAGGGTACAGTTTAACATAATATGTGCTAACTGAGTCATCGTAGCAGATAATATTGCGTTATGTTAAATTCATTAACCAAATTTCGGACATACTCATTTAATAACCCATGGCAAATCTTATTAAAATAAACATAATTATCAAAACAGAGGCTGAATCTATAGTTTTTAGAATTTTTGTCTGTTTATCTGTCTGTCTGTTACCGCATCACAGAAAAACCACTGAAGGGATTTTGATGAAATTTGGTATGGCGATAGCTGGTTATCCGGATCAACATATAAGATACTTTTTACCGCGAGAAAATATCTCATTTCTGAGAAAAAGTACAAAAACTGCAAAGTGAGAGTATACTAATATGTAAAACCTAAGAATTTAGTTTTTGGTCATCTGAACGCGGGCGGAGCCGCGGGCAATGCTAGTCAGTAATAAGTTTTAACTTTAATAATAAGACGGTAACATGTTTTCATGTGAAAAGCAACCGCGGTTCCACAATTGAAATCCAATTTTATACTTTGTTTTCTCTAGATAATGGCAATTGTCTTGGTTGGCGTGAGGGACCAAATAAGCCTTATGTGTGGCAGACGTACAATGAGACCCTGCTGCGAGCGAAAAACTTCGGCTCAGGACTTATATGCCAAGGTCTCACCCCAGGGCAAAGCACCTTTGTAGGTGAGTGACTCGACAATAATTACATACATACATACATATAAATATACCTATCTTATATATACGAGGCTGTAACGGCCCAACCCACAATTTAAATTGAGTGCGAAAACGATAAAATGTCAATAAAAAGTGATAATAAACAGTTAACAGTGTTAAGATAATGTTATAAATGAAAATCTTGCATTTAATATTTATTTTATATAATATATATGATATTTATTTTATTAGACATTCGTCAATATGTATACGTAGGATTATTTCGTTTTCCCACAAAAAATATTTTAAAGAAGTACTCATATATTTGATATTATATATTTGGTTTCTGATTTCTAACCTTTATCTATCTATTACTAAGCTAAAAATATGTATTTTTGTAGGTATATACGCTCAAAACTGTCCAGAATGGATCATGGCTGAACAAGCTGCCTACTGTTATTCAATGGTTATAGTACCGTTATACGATACCCTAGGAGCCAACGCATGTGCCTTCATTATTAATCAAAGTAAGTATTTTACGTGTTTTTGTATATAATTTTCATACAACTTTTTTTTTGAATCGAAATCGCTCAAGATTTGGAGATAAATATTTTTACTTTGAATAGAAAATATATTCTATAACTAGTTCTCTATGAAATTACATCAACTATTTGTACTCTATTATACATTATCTTATATTGTATATCATATAAGGTAAAATGTGGACAGCCGTAAGCTTTTATACTAGCGAGAATATATCAGACAATTTTTTTTTTCATTTTATTCATTGCCAATATCTTTTCATATGTAGACAGTAGACACTATATCAACTATAATTATGGATAATTTGGCGTAATACAAGTTTTCGGTCATTGCTTTGCTCGCATAGTACGTCAATATAAGCAATCTCCAATTTGAATTTCACTTAAATCAGTTGAAGCATATGAACGGCGTAATAAAATAATAAACACACAGACGTACTCAAACTTTTGCATAATAATATACGAGTTTTATTACAATTTTCAGCGGAAATGACAATAGTTGTATGCGAAGACGACAAGAAAGCAAACCTCCTCTTAGACCAGTCGCCGCGATGCTTGCGCAAGCTTGTCACGATAAAGGAAGTCTCGCCATCGACCCACCAAAGGGCGAAAAGCCGCGGTGTTGAAATACTTAAGTTTAGCGACGTGGAGATACAGGGCGCTCAGAAAGATCATCCTTGTGTCGTAAGTTTACATGTTCGGTTACATGTAATAAGCATTTGTATGTAAATAATAATGATGCTAATACATAGCCAAAAAAACGTTAAAATTACAAATATTCTCTATATCAATCCTTTTCAAAATCATATTTTTATTAGCATTTTCCCCTATTACTAGCAAAGAAACATCATTTAACTCATCAAAAATTTTATATGATGTTTTTAAGATGGAATTTTAAAGATTTTATTTAAATAATTTGACTCAACTCATTCTTCACTCATTTTAAGTTTAATAATTCCAATGCAATGCAAATACTCTCATTTTCTTGCTTTCTTTCCTTCTCCATTCACTTCTAAGCAGTCTCTTTTTTTATTTCTCTACTCATTTCTCATATTAATATTGTGTTGGTTGCCATATGATAACATCTAAACATTGTTCCAGCCACCTAAACCAGATAACCTATGCACAATATGCTACACGTCAGGTACAACTGGTATGCCGAAGGGCGTGATGCTAACACACGAGAACGTGGTGGCGTCCATGTGCGCCGTAACCATGCAGCTCGGCGAGCACCGCCCCACTAAACACGACGTCATGATCTCCTTCCTACCACTCGCCCATATGCTCGAGCGGTGTTGTGAGGTACTTATTATATAGATAAAAAAAAACCTAGTATTTATAATATATTTCAAAAAATCTATTTATATGATTTTTTCGCGTTTCGTTTTAATTTTACCCTTATATACTCCAAGAGGAACAACTCTTGACACATAATTTTCAAGAAAATCTTCTTTCTATAAGGTTTCTTTCCATAGTTACAGTTGATTTCGAAGACATAAACAACAAAACATTCATGAATCTTCCTATGTTGTTGATTATAGTTTACTTTTTCTTCGTATCAATACAATTTATATATACAGATATGTATACTCGTATATAGAATGCAATAGTTCATGAAATTATTTCTAAAATTATATAGGCGATAAATTGCACTTAACAGTGATCATATGTAAATAAAACGGGAAATACGGTATTTACTACATAAAATTGGTTAAATAATGTATGTAGATATTTGAATTTATTAGCATACTTCACCTACCCACGTTTATGCGAAACCGGATGTACTGAATTTTAAAACTTTAAAGATCTATAATTTATTCTACATATGTTTCTAAAGTAATTTGTTATTAAACCATGCAATTTGCAAATATACAAAGTTCATTTGGTAAATTAAATGGTCGTGAATTATATTATTTACAAGTCAGCACTGAATTTATTTTTTGAGATATTGATTAATTTAAGTTATAAATAACCATTTATCTGCGTCATTCATTATTTAATGGTAAAATATATTCATATATTTTTCGTTTAATAGACAGACTTATTGCGCTTGTGATTTATATTTTCGGAAAAATAAAAAATAAAAAATATTTTATACTTTAGCACAAAAGTACTCTAGTAATAATAAAATTTTCTTTTTCTTTCTTTCTAGAATGCTCTATACATGGTTGGAGGTGCGGTTGGCTTCTACAATGGCGACATTCGACGTCTCGGCGAAGACCTTACGGCGCTGAAGCCCACCATGATGCCGGCTGTTCCTCGCCTTCTCAACAGACTGTATGACAAAGCGCAAAATGAAATATCAAACTCTAAAATAAAGAAGCTGCTGTTCAATATGGCGTTATCTGCGAAAGAATCTGAACTGAAGAGGTTAGTAAGTGATGGATGTTAGTTTTTAGGTTTTATAAAAAAATAATATTGATATTTGAAATACGGTTCTATTATGTCAGGGACTTTTAATGTATTTCTTATTTGGTAAACAAATCCGGATGCTTTGAAATAATTTAGTTTTTCGAATTAACAACAATATATACATATATAGGTACGTACGTATGTTACTCATGTTCATTGTTTTTGGTATTTTAAAAAACCCAAACCAATTTATGCTGTCCTTATTTCCAAGAGTGTCTCGTGAAGCTTAGTTGAGAAAATAAATCGTATTTACACATCAAACTGATTAACTTTTAGTAAACACATACCTACTTTGTATCGATCACTTGGTAATGTAATCGAAGAGATTTCATTTGATTCGAAGTCTAATGTCACGTAAAATTTATGTTAGGATATCTAGTTCAATTTTAGGTTACAGAATTATATCTAAATATTTATATTACAGAGGTATAATCCGAAGTGATTCTATCTGGGACAAACTAGTGTTCCGCAAGGTGCGTGAAGGTATGGGCGGGCGTCTCCGCATCGTGGTAGTGGGCTCCGCGCCTCTCGCCGGCAACGTGTTGACATTCGCGCGATGTGCTCTTGGATGCTTGGTGAGAAAATTTGTGTAATAATCAACTCGCCTCGGTGGTGTAATGGCTAGTATGTACGGCTGCACAGCCGGAGGTCCTGGGTTCGAGTCCCGGGTCGGGCCAAGTTTAGTTATTGCGTGTTCCTGTATAGTAAGCCCGGAGTTGGGAAGTTGGCGGTGTTTCACCCCCTTGCCTCGGAGAGCACGTAAAGCCGTCAGTCCTGCGCCTTAACTCTCACCGGTCGTGTCTCGCGTCGTCCCACCGGAGTATGAGAGTGACAGGAATAGAGAGTGCACGTTGTGTCTGCGCGTACACTTGTGCACTATAATATCTCCTGCGCAGTTGGCTAGTCTCAATGAGATTGGCCGCCGTGGCTGGAATCGGTCAGGAGAACATCAGTAATCAATGTGTGCAACTTCATCCTTCGTTTCTTCTATTATCTCAATTTTTTCAAGCTTTTATTAAACTTGCAATGTTCGTATCTATGTTTATTCTGCTCAAATCTTGCAACTGAATTTTAAAGGAGTTATACTCAACCGATTGAGCTGAAATTTTGCATACACTTTTGGTTTGATGACAATGCATAGTTAGCTATATAAAGTCATTCTAAATACTATATGGCGAACACCCAGAAATGGCGTAATACGATCTTTTTATGCACGCCCATGATATCAAATGAAATGATTTGCTGAGAAGAATACGAATAAATAACTAAAAAAGTAAAAAATAAACGTTAAATTAAATCAAACTTATCAATGTTATTACACTACACAATTAATATGATATAAGAGCTTTTTTTTTGTTAATATTAATTTATTAATTAGTCAAGTTAATTTATTGGCTATCCTTAACTTAATGATGTTGGCAAAAGCTTCTGATCGTGAAATAGCGGATAATTATTATACATATAATATATTGACGTAAGTCTTTTAATTACTCTACAGATGCTCTACATGTGCTTAATCATCAACCTAAAATCTAAATATAATATTCAATAAACATTCGGATCCATTAATTTTCTATTTAAGAAACAAATTGATGACATAAATTACATTACTTAAACCATTCATTAAGAATTGCTATAAATAGAGATCAAAAACTAAAAGCGTGTTAGCTATCCATTTTGTAACTGCACTATACGAGTATATTGGATGTGATTTGCATTTTTATTCGCGTTAATCCCACGTCGTTATTTTGATTGACATTTCACTTCGCTACTTGTTTAGAACGTTTATATAGGCTACTAGCATTGCCCGCGGCTCCGCCCACGTTCAGATGACTAAAAACCAAATTCTTAGGTTTTACATATTAGTATACTCTTACATTGCAGTTTTTGCGTTTTTTCTCGGAAATTAGATATTTTCCCGTGGTAAAAAGTCAGGTCAAATATGTTGACCCGGATAACCAGCTATCACCATACCAAATTCCATCAAAATCCCTCCAGTGGTTTTTCTGTGATGCGGTTTTCTGCGATACAGACAGACAGACCAAAAATCTAAAAACTATAGATTCGGCCTCTGTATCGATAATAATGTTTATTTCAATAAGATTTTCCAAAAAATATTTAATGTACAGATTCGGCTTAGTTACAATTTTATTATGTGTTCATGATCTTTTTCAATAAGTGGGCTATCTAAAAAAAAAAAGATTTTTGAAATCGATTTTGTATTCAGCTGAGATTATTGCGAGCTTTTACAGACTTCAGCTTTCAAATAGAAACATTACTAATACACTGTATATTAACATTCTTACTTCTGCAAGATAGATGGAAACAGTGATATTTCAAAGTTATTTATTCTGAAGGTTTTAACCGCCGCGTTTCATCTTAACGACTACATTACCTTCATATTGTAGTTTATTCCAGTATGTATATTTGAGATTTATTCAATGCGAGGATTTAATTAACAAACTCTTATTATTTTCTTTTAATTGTTCTACAGATAGAATGAAAATCTTTGATCACTGTAGCGGCCATCTTACTTATGGAGATATACCTACATATATAGATAATGACACAGAGAATTATATATCTCTTCATAATGAAAAGAGATTTGGCACAATATCTAATGAAGGTTTCATGTGGCTAAAATTGAACCCAGAACCTAATAATTTGCAGCTGCAAAAGATGAAAGACAAACGATGCAGGTAGTAATTCACAGAAGCATCAAAATTTATTCCAGCATCACTACGGTTAACCAAAATAGAAATCACATGATTTAATACAAATCTATAATATTCCTTATTTCTATAACCTTCAGCTGTCGGGCATCATATTTGTTTTAATAATAACCTAGCACAAAGTCAAGGTTACCGATATACGAATAAACATTTCCTGAATGATTCAAATTTTCTCTCGCTTATTATCTATACTAATATTATAAAGAGGTAAAGTTGGTTAGTTTGTGAGATTGTGAGTTTGGTAATATCTGGATCTACTGAACCGATTTAGATGAAATTTTGTAAGAACATAGTTTGAGACCCTGGGAAGGTCATAGGATTTATTTTTTATCCCGTAAATCATTTCTTAAGGGAGTGAAAATAAAGATGAAAGTATGTATTGGGAAGCAAGCTAAAGACGAACCCGAGCGAAGCGAGAGTGAGTCGCTAGTTATCTTATATATAAAATTTCCATGTCACAATGTTAGTTACCGTACTCCTCCGAAACGGCTTTACTGATTTTTACCAAATTTTATATGCGTATTGAGTAGGTCTGAGAATCGGCTACTATCTATTTGCCATACCCCTAAGTGATAAGGATAAGGGTGGTCCTCCCAGACCCCACCCCAGGGACGAACCCGAGCGGAGCGACGGTGAGTCGCTAGTTTAATATATAATTGAACTAAGCAAAATGGTATGTTTGCTTTGGATAGATGCGGTATTTGGAAGGTGCGCTCTGAAAATATTGTTTTTGGTCGATCTATGAAATGTATAATGTTTGAAAAATGATGACACTTTTATAGAGTAAATAGTTTATCAATCCTTATGTGATGTGAGAAAATTTGTTGATAAATTTACACTTGTAAAATGTGAATGAAGTAAACTTATTTGTACTATATTCTATATAGAATTGAGTATCTATTATAGTTTGAGTAAGATTAACATTGAATTAAACGATAAGATTTTATAAATTTATTAATATTTATTGCATCAACAACATATAAAAGTTATTTTAGTAACATTTAGTTGTAATACTAATTCATTTATCTTCAGTTTCGTGTACTTACGGGATAGATGAATCATTTGGTATGCTACTACCTTAACCGTACTCATATTTTTTTTTAGAAAGACACGTGTGAAGCCAATACTAGAGCAATTCCTTGACAAGTCGTAAAAATTAAATAAAAATTCATCTCTGGGCATGGTAGGATTTCGCAGTTCGATTTGGGAGCCATTTTGAATAAGCATTCAAATTAAATCATTTATTAAGTTTCGTTTTAGAACTCTAATTGAGTCATCAACCCACCCGATAGAGTCATGACCATAGAGTATATTGCTACATAGGTCATGACCAAACAAAATTTCATATATAATTTATTTTTGATTTTTAGTTTATTTTTACCGCAACAAGATGCAGATTTGAATAATTCGGAAATACCGAAAGCTCGAAAATGTTAATAAAAACTTGAATAATAAAAATAAAAAGAAAAAGTATCATAAAAATTATATGATCTAAGAAGTACCTAATATGTACACGTAATATCGACCACAGAATAGTACGTCGTTATATCGAATTAGTGGGCCGCAGTCTAACTTGAGTCATTTTTGTCTCTTACTTCTTAATATCTTAATTCTTAATAATACCTTGTTAATAAATAAAATCAAGAGATTTAGAAACGATCATAGGCTACAGCTACTTCAGCCACAAGCCTTATGTTTGTTTTCGATTTTGTTATAAAAAAATTTTAATGGTAATATTTTCTTGTCCCTATTACCTAGATCGTGGAAGGCTACGGACAGACAGAGTGCACTGCGCCAGTAACTCTGACGGTGCAGGGCGACCACGTGCCCGAGCACGTCGGGCCTCCCGTCGCTTGTTGTAAAGTGAAGGTATGTATAATATAATTTAATTATAATATTATATAAATATCATAATAGCTAGTAAATTTGTAAACTTAGATCGAATTTAAAGTTTTAGAATTCGCATATTTTTTCAAATTTTATACAAAAATGTGCATATTGTGTTAAATAATGAATATAAGATATGAAAATCTACATTGCTCAAGTATAGGACAGTCACAGGCAAAAGTAGCCTAGTCACATTTTTCCATTATTAATATATATAAATACATATATTATATCTTAAGATATCTATCCATATAACCACTTACAGACATATATTTTCGCTATGATAAGTAAAGGTGTCTTCAAGACATGGGAATATAACAAAAAATTAAATACATATGTGTTATATAATACTTTCTTAGATTTACGCGAATATTTGATATTTTAAATAAAACTGTCTTTTCGGATTATTTCGCGGATTTATGTTGATTTTTGGTTTCCGACGTTTCGAATGCTTTACAGCATCCATGGTCACGGGGGAGAGTCATGGTTGCTGTGAAGCATTCGAAACGTCGGGAACCAAAAAACAAAATAAATTCGCGAATTAATCCGAAAAGATAGTTTTATTTAAATATATGTTTTTATTATAGCTAGTGGACGTGCCCGAAATGGAGTACTATGCGTCACAAGGGCAAGGCGAGGTTTGCGTGCAGGGAGCGAACGTATTCCGCGGCTACTTTAAGGAGCCGGACAAGACTCGTCAGGTCATCGATGCTGACGGCTGGCACCATACCGGCGACGTTGGCAAGTGGCTGCCGGTTAGTATAGTCATCTACATATATATATATATATATATATATATATATATATATATATAAATGAATGTTCATATGTTTGTTTTTTATGCATTTCTAAAACATTCAAGCGAAGGGATACACTCGAGTGAAGCGAGGGTAAATCGATAGTAGTTAATATTTTTATAGATAAAATAACACTATGGGACTTAACGTATATGCTTATACTAGCAAGTGGCATAACAATAATGTTGCCGATGTTTCGACTGGGTTGCACCAACCAATATATATTTACAAGTATATAACCGTTAAGTCCAGTAGTGTTACTTTATGTAATATCTAGAAACACAAAAATAAATCTATCCCTTGGGGACCGTATATTTTTTCGGAATAAAAAGTAGCTTATGTGTTATTCCAGACTATAGGTAAACTATCTCTGTGCTAAATTTAATCCAGATCCGTTCAGCCGTTCTGGCGTGTTTGTTACTCAAACATCCATACTCAAAAACTTTTACATTTATAATATTAGTATAGATAAAACATATATTTTATTAAAGAATACTAAGTATACCTAAGAGACTGGTCTGAATATGCTGAAATATAACTCTACAATTTCAATGGCTTCCATTACATTGCCAGGCGTGATGTACACAGAACAATATTTGGTATATATGTACACTTTGACGAACTATGAGTTGTAATATCAATACTTAATATTTATTTGGTGGGACACTAGACCCTCCAAACTCAATTGTGTAAATATGTACATAGTACATAATATGTATACTTTATTAGAGACCTTTGCATCTGTTGTAATATAATTAATCTAGTGTTCATATAAATTATTCATTTTCAGAACGGTACCTTAAAAATCATCGATAGAAGAAAACACATTTTCAAGCTGTCACAAGGCGAATATATAGTTCCTGAGAAAATAGAAAATATTTACATTAGAAGTCAATACGTCGAACAAGTGTTTGTGCATGGTGAATCATTAAAGGTAAAAAAAATATTTATTTTATAGTTTGTTTTCTGATTTAAAATGTTTTACTTTCTTTCAACTGTGATGAGTATATCCAAAAATTGAACTTCAAAATTTAGCTATTACAATCTAACAAACGTGTGTATATCTGTCTACGAAAACGTGTAAATGTACTTATTAGTACAAGTAGATTTATTGTTTACTAGCGACTAAACCTCGCTTCGCTTGGATTCTTCCCTAGCTTGCTTCCCGAAACAAACTTGTATCCCTATTTTCAAGGGATGATTTCCGGGATAAAAAGTATCTTATGTCCTTCCCAGAGTCTCAAACTATCTTCTTACCAAATTTCATCTAAATCGGTTCAGTAGAACCAGAGATTACCTCCTACAATGTCACAATCTCACAAACTTTACCTCTTTATAATATTAGTATAGATGTGATAAATTTTCTTGCATGTAACATTTGTAAATTTCCTGCTTGTATAAAATAGAAAATAGTATGATTAGCTATAATAAATCATGAAAGAGTTTAAATAACCAACACGTAATTAAATTACAGATCTGTTAGAGAGAAGTGTTATTTATGTTATAATATGAAATAAAATTCCAGTTGTTTGACTATAACTCATGTGGGAGTGTAACGTCCACAAATATGCATGTTTTCTTGACGTAGAGTTAAAAAATGATATATGCGAATAACAAAATTAACAAGAAAATTAAACTTCACTGTTACTTATGTCGTTTTAAAAATATATGTGGAGCTCAAGGTTGTTTGTTTATTTTATATGTAACATAAATAAACTCGGAAGTTAATACATACTGTTGATCTCTTAATATCAAATGTGTACTGAATGTTTTCTACTGAAACCAATAATGGTATTATTGATTTTATATAACTACTAGCGACTTTCTCTGGCTTCGCTCGGATTCGACTTTAGGTAACGTTTGAAATAGACTATATAAGTATATATATATATATATATATATATATATATATATATATATATATATTACATACTAATAGCTATTGAAAAATAGGTAAGAACTTTAAAAAATCACAAAAATTATACCCCTTATTTGAGAAATGATTGATTCCCCATACAAGCTTTCACTCCCCCTTTAGCCACATTAAAAGACTTCCGGGATAAAAACTATCCTATAAGCTATATCTTCCCCAGGGCCTTAAACTATCCTTAGAACTTAATTCTTACGTGCGTACATAAGTACACGCACACGTTTTTTTTTATTATGTGTACGAATTTTGTTCATATATTTCCCAATCCCTATAGTCATGCGTGGTAGCGGTAGTGGTACCAGACGTGGACGTCGTGAAGTGCTGGGCGCTGGAGAACGGCATCCAGGGCACATTCTCCAAGCTGTGTGAGGACGAGCGTGTGAAGACCGTTATACTCGAAGATATGCTGCAGTGGGGCAAAACTGCCGGACTCAAAACCTTTGAACAGGTTTGTACGAGATAATACCTACAAAGTAATAATAACAATTAAAGCAGACCAACGTAATTTAATGCATGTAGAGACTTACAGAAGAAATAATAAGCTATATTGGCACATTTGCAAAGGGTCTGAGAAAACCGATATCAGGCAATAGCCATAATATTATTTGAAATAATAAATAAAAACTTCATAACAGTTTTCGGAAATTAGGTACATTTTTCTATTTTTGGGTGATTTTCGAAAACATAATTTCAGTTAAAACAATTCAATTCAATTCTCTTGCTAATGGCTTCAAAACGTGCCAGTTGAGCACAGATTACTTTGCCAATGTCACGTAGAATGGAGAAGACACGAAGGAGATTGGTCGGTATTAAATGAGATTACTAAACTGTTTATATTAATTAAAAAGTGTAAAAAAGGTTAGCAACTCCTCTATGAACCTTGGATCTACAACAAAAGACAACACAATTATTATATACATAAAAACCATAATTAAAAATAAGCGGTTAGTAAGTTCTAAATATATTATAAAATTGTTAGTCTATAATCTAATTCCATTACTCTTAATATATTTACATAAAAATTTACATAAAGGACTAAACACAAACATTAACAAACAATTAACATCAATGGGACGGGGGACTTTGAGGGGAAGGACATCATAAATAGGATGGAGAAGTCTAGGACAGCTAAAAAGAATATGAGAGGGAGTACCTTCATCAAGACCACATTCGCATAAGGAATGGTCCCTGACCCTAATTTTCGCTAGGTGCACAGGTGTACATGCATGTCCAAGGCGCAAGCGACAAATGGTAGTTATGACCCAACGTTCCGCAAGTTTTAAACGATAAAACCAAGGGTGCCTTGGAATCTCGGCCTGAAGGGCTGCATAGTGCTTACCTTTAAAAGATTTTGATAGATTCCAGTTCTTATTCCAAGCTTTTTCTAAATGGTTCTTAGCAAGAGATACCAGATCCTGAGCCGAATTATTAAAATACTCAAGCGTCCCACAGATAACAGCAGATTTTGCACAAGAGTCCGCAGTTTCGTTACCTGGAATACCAGAATGGCCTGGTATCCAGACCAAGGAGACCAGCAAGCCCTTCCGATGACATGAGAACAAAGCTTCACGAATCCGTAAGATAATAGAAGATCTTAATTTGCTACGAAACGGATTCTCCTTAATGGCCATTAAACAACTGAGAGAGTCTGTCAGTATAACTGTCTGTTTGAACTCATGGGAGAGGGTGAACAGGATTGCTTCTAGTAGAGCAACAGCCTCGCCTGTAAACACCGATGATTCTGGAGGGCATTTAAATTGCAAAATAATTTTGAATTTAGGAACCCAGCAAGCTGCACCAACACAGCCATCATGTGATAGCTTAGATGCATCAGTAAATATAAGGAGGTGATTCGACCAATTTTGATGAACTAGACTCTGGAATTTTGTGTTGGTGTCATGGGCTTTCTTGGTCAGACCAAGATCCAAGATAATAGAGGGAGAAAAAGTTAGTGCATTATAAGGAGTACCAAAAAGAGGATTAAGACGAAAACGGGATAAAGGGTGAGGAAGCTTGGTGAACTTGAGGAAACTTTCTAAGAGGAAGGATAAGGGTCTTTGAGAGGAGTTAAAGTCAGCAAGTCGACTTAGCCTAGGCCAAAGAGGATGGGACGATAACTGTAACGACTTACCGACAAATCGATCACATAGGAATTGGCGACGTAATGGTAGCGGAGGGTCAACACATTCAACTTGAAGGGCATTGGTAGGAGTAGACTTCATTGCACCTAGTACTATTCGCAGGCATTTGTGTTGTATTCGATTGAGTTTTTCTGTGGGAACCTTATTAAAGGGGTCTAAAACAAATGTACCGTAATCAATATGACTACGCACAAGGGAATTGTACAGCAATTTTTGAGTATATGGGTGTGCACCCCACCACACACCGGACACCGCGCGTAGAGCGTTGATGCCCTTTTCACATTTTTTAGTTATGTACTCAGTATGTGCAATTCCATTCAGTCTTTTATCAAGAACGATGCCTAAAAATTTTGCTTTTTCTACTAAACTAATGATATGATTATCATACAACAATTGGAAATTTGGAACTGACCTCCTTCTAGTGAATACAACTGCCTGACACTTAGCCACTGATAGTGACAAGCCATTTTCAGAAAGCCATTGACCTAGATAATGCAAAGCAGTATTTATCCGGAAATTAATGTCCTCTACAGATTTTGAGCTGCAATAGAGGACGATGTCATCAGCATATTGAAGAATATTACAAAAATTATTTACAGACAATTCGAGGTCATGAGTATATAAATTATACAGAAGAGGGCTGAGGACCGAGCCTTGGGGAAGACCTTTCCAGACAAGTCTGGGAGGCACAGTAAGTAATTGATGTTTAACAGATATGGTTCTACCAGTCAGCAACTGACTTATGAAATGTGTCAACCTCGGTGGAATGTTCAGATGATGCATTTTCTGCCTGAGCATTGGAAGAAGAACATTATCATAAGCAGACGCGATATCAAGAATAACACCAACCAGATACTCTCCTTGGGCATAGGCTAGTCGAATGTCTGTAGTGAAAATACTAAGACTATCTATTGTACTCAGCCCCTTTCTAAAGCCAAACTGAGAGGGTGCTAAGACATTTCTGCTTTCCACTATCCATTCGAGGCGAATTTTCAAAATCCGTTCAGTTATCTTCGCTAACGTGGATGCTAGCGCAATGGGTCTATAGGAATTTGGATCTGATGGACATTTGCCCGGCTTAAGAATAGGGATTACTATTTGGGATTTCCATGATTCTGGAACAATACCTGACTCAAATAAAGCATTTATTAAATTTAAGAAATACTTTTTGGATCTATTGTTCAACCTTCTAATAAAGGAATAAGGAATACCATCCTCTCCTGGACTAGTATCTTTTAAATCCGTTAAGGAGGTTTCAAGTTCTTCAAATGTAAAAGGACGATCCATTTCATTAATTACAGAAGATGGAGCAGAATACGAATAAGAATCATGTGGGGGAACAAATGGAGGGGCTAATTTATCAGCAAAGTCATTAATCCATACGGAGGGGTTATTGGAGTTAGGACTAGGTACAGAGTTAAGAGATCGACGAAATCTCTTAACATTAGTCCACACAAGAGATGGGGGCGACCGAGGATCCAGGGATTCACAAAAATTTATCCAGCCAAGTTTTTTCTTTTTATGAGCCAATCTTCTAAATTTTGCATCATTGCGCTGATAAACATTAAAATTCTGTACTGTCATAGAGGCTGCATATGACATCTCGGCAGATTTACGCCTATTAACAGAATCAGTGCAATCCTGATCCCACCAGGGATTGGAAGGCAATTGATACTGCGTGGAGCCCTTCTTCGGTATATGAAGATCTGCAGAAGAAATAATAGCAGAGACAAACCGATCATAACAAAAAATGACATTCTCACTATCAATAGATTCAGGAAGGGAGTCCAACATGTGATCAACAGAACTAGCGAAATCATACCAATTAGCTTTATTTAAATTATGTTTAAGAAGAGAATTGGAATTTGAAGAGGAAGGTATATATCCAGTGAATAAAGAAATGAGGATAGGAAAATGATCGCTGCCATAGGAAGAGGAAAGTACATTCCATGATAATTGGGCAGCGAGCGCAGGAGAAGAGAGGCAAAGGTCTACAGCTGATTTAGGATTTTGATTGGGATAAACCCTTCTAGTCGGTGAGCCATCATTGAGGATACAAAGGTTAGTATCATCAATCATGTCTACTAACTGAGGAGAGAATCTATCACAAAAATAACATCCCCACAATGTGTGATGGATGTTAAAATCTCCCATAATCAGTACAGGACCGGGAAGTGAAGAGATAATAGACAAAAGCTCAGGAAAAATCGTAGGAGAAGGGTGAGGAATATATACAGAGAGAAATGATATATTAAGAGCCCTCACAGCAATAGCATTAATCTGTTGACTGTGAGATGGAATAGAAATAAGGGAATAAGGAGTGGAGTGCCGGATAAGAATGGCACTGCCAGCATACCCGTCACTTCTGTCCTCCCTTAAACAGGCAAAACCTGGCACCCGGAAACGGGAACCCGGAGTTAACCATGTCTCTGAGAGGACAATAATGACAGGATTGTGTGTGGAAATAAGATGGATTAATTCATGCTTTTTAGGATGGATGCTTTTACAGTTCCACTGAAGGAAGTTCAGTGGGGCCATTTTTAACTATATTGAAAATTTGCATTAATTTTTGGGCAACGTTGGACGGTAAAGGAACATCATCACAGGAGGATATAATAGAAATGAGAGTTTCAATGAGAGCTAGAAGGAGATCTTTTTTAGGACTGGAGGGATTATCAACACTATTAAGGGCACAGCCATTAGGAAGAGGGGAGGAGCAATTGCTAACAATTGCTTGATGAGCTTGTCTATCATATCCCTTCGCTGGAGGAGCTCGGGGATGTGGTGAACGGAAAACTGTTTGACGATATGAAGTAGAGGAAGAAGGTTGAGGTTGAATTGGGCTAGAGGGAGCATTGGTGTATGAGGGAAGGGTGAACATCTCCTTAGCAACATCTGCATAAGAGCGCTGCACAGAAGGAAAGCGGGAGGCTGCTTCCATATAGGAAACATTCTCTTGTGACATTACCATCTTAATTGACTGTTGCCTAACAAATTCAGGGCAATCTTTGTCTGTGGCAAAATGTTTGCTTGTGCAATGAATACATGTTGAATTCTCTTTAATTATATTACATGCATCACCAGTATGTGATTGGGAACACCTGTAACACCTTGGCTTAGATCTGCATTGAGATTTAATGTGGCCAAAGCGGCAGCAATTGAGGCACTGTATGGTGGGAAGTTTATATGTCTCAACAGGGAGGGAAGTGTGGTAAGAGTACACTTTCTCAGGCAGCATTTGTCCCCTAAATGTCATTGCAACTGACTGAGTCGGTACCCAGGTAACAATACCTTCATTAACATTCTTACGATTCAAACGTCTTGCTTTCATGACCTTACCACAGCCAGGAGGAAGTTCTAATGACTCGATAAATTCATCCATTGCCCATTCAACAGGGACTCCTTTGATAAGACCCATTCGAGTAATATTAAAAGTGGGAATAACTGCTACATATTTACACATACTAAGAACTGGGTTCTTTAAAAAGTTATTAGCAGCCTCAGCAGAGGAGAATTGGACAGCGATTTTATTGCGTCCGACATTCTTAACTCCATCATTAATTATATTGGGAATTTTATGGTTATGCAAAAATTGACCAAACTTGATGGCTCTTATTGTTGTTCCAGCTGCAGGGTCAGGAGTTTCCCTAGAGACATAGACTATAAATGGACCTTTATCATCGTCATTATAGGAAGAAGGACCTTCGGACATAGAGGGATGAATATACACACTTTGGATTGACGGGGTGGCAGTATCAGGATTATGTATAGTTTTTTTAGCTGTCAAGTTTGCATCGGGAGTTGAGTTCTCCCCTTGGCGTTTACGAGAAACACCCACAGTACTTAACAAAATGGAGCCTCCGGGATCCGGGGGCTCCGACGGTGGATCACCATCCATCCTTAAACCTAACTTACCTTTATTTAGAACACACACAAATAAATATAACAACCAATCACCAATAAAAACCAAAATTCAGTACACCTTTAACACTTAATTATAATAAAAACTTAAAAGAGAAATGATTAATATAGAAAAAAAGCACCGATCTCACTAACACGTGTGTAAGCCAAAACAAACGTCTAGCAAGTTTCCCAGTTAAAACAATACTTAATTCTAACATATAGTATGTCAAATAATAAATTCATACGTTTTCTTCTTTACAGGTTAAGGATATATACCTTCATCCTGATCCATTCTCAGTGCAGAACGGTCTGCTCACTCCCACAATGAAGGCGAAACGACCGGAAATAAGAAATTATTTCAAACCACAGATCGACGATATGTACAAAAAACTCGAATAACAATAGCTTACATTCATAATGTTTTATAAAAAAAAACTATTGACAGATATATAAAAATAAACAACAAATATATCACGTGATCGTGATATATTTCATACTAATATTAAATATGAAATTGATGCTATTAAATACGCTTTAAATGAACTTTATAATTATGACAAAAACACTACTTATCTGGCTCGGGGAATATCTAAAAGATTTTATTTGCCTGTCGAACTCGAGTGAAGACACAGACTTTTTGCAGTATATTTTAAGCAGACGAACAACTGAGTTAATAAATAATGTGGTTTTCAAAAAATAAGTCGAATCAAGATGGCGTCTGGCCTAAAAGCCATAAAAACTACAATTTTAAAGCTTAATAATTATTAAGTATTTGACACATAAGGCCATTTTGGTTCATAATTAAATTCTTTTTGAGGTTAAGTATCGTAGACTATAACGTGGGTAAATCTACGTTTAAACAACTAGTTAAAATACTATTTAAATTCTAACGAAAATATTGGATTATGAAAATAAATGCCTATTTAATTTGACCATTTTATAATCTTATCTATACCCACCCATTGTTGGTTTTTATAATTTATAAAAAAAAAATTAAAATGCTTCTAAGTATTAGTAAAATTAAAAATATATTAAAAGTGGATCCGTTTCAGGAAAATGATAAATTTTTCTATTAGTACCATTTTTAATATAATTGTTTTATCTAAGTCATTTTTTCTTACTCTGAGCCTTATATTGCTAATATCAAAAAGTATAGTCCCGCCAAATGATTTTTTAAACGTTATAAATATATTATTTTATTTCGAGAAATATGGTGAAGGCAAGTTGATATAATATTTGAAATAGAAAGATAAAAATGGGGATCGGTTTAAATTTAAACACCGTCTGTGACTAACGATTCTAATAGAGAGAGACAGAACTATTCCATTTTATATCACTATACAACATGTTTATTAACTTGTCTCATATTATATATCTCTTTAACAGTTGAAGGGCTTAATGAAAAATGCATAAAATACATATATATATATATATATATATATATATATATATATATATAGGCTTTGTTATATTATAATATTCTGGTGAAATATAAACATAAAGTTATACGTTGAAAATAGAAACCAAAAATGATATATATTATAACGTCCATTATCTATATTCAAACGAAGCCCTTCAATTTTACTATAAAATACTCGTAAGCATAGACTATTATCTTTAGAAAAGAATGTCAAAAGATACTATAAGTGTAGATACGTTGATACTAGCATCTATACAATGGCAATAATTAAAGGAACATCTGTTTCTTGTACAGTCAATTATTCATTCAATCGATTGTATGTCGTTTGGTTATTTTTTTCATATTATTTGAAATAATTTTACTTTTATAATTATAGGACTTTCATAATGATGATGACTATTTGTGGTAAGACGCTTTTGCCCGATTTCACCAACGACACCTAAGTTTAAGGGATCCCCTAAGCATGGTTATGGGGCTGTTAGGGGACAGTTTCTGTTTCACCGACAGTTAGGGGTCACCTAAATATTAAAAGGCCCCCTAAATTTAGGTGCTCGAAATATGGGCTTAAAGACGATCGTAAAATTAAATTTTTAAATTTAATTTAGGGGCTAGTTTAGGGGACTTTTAAGTTAGGGATCCCATACGTAGGTGGTAGCTTATGGGTTGTTGGTGAAATCGGGCATTTGTCTTACATGGTGACCTTTAGAGAAACAGCATATCCGAAAATCTCTATAAATGAATAAATCAAAGAGATAACATTGTAATATGGTAATTATATGCAAATGTTTTTATAATAAATGTTCAAAGAATATGATTTAACATCTTACAAATGTCAGTGAAAGGTTATATATCACTTCTTTTGAGATTTTGTAACCGTTTAAATATTTAAAAATATATGTATAGATACTAAATTTTTTGTGTATTTTGACTTTTTTTTAAATAATTAATATTCTAAACGTCGCCAAGTTCACAATTAACATATTTATTCGGATATACGAAAAAAAATAATATTGCTGATTATAAATCATACGACGCCGTAAGCAATTTAGTAGGCAAATGTACTTTACCACAATTTTATACGCTAATTGAATTAAGCAAAATGTTTTTTTTTAGATTTACTTTCCCTTTCGTGTGTTTATGTTAAGTTGTATTGTTAGAGGGCGAATCTCGTCTATGGGTTGTGTGTTTGAAATGAGATTTCCACAACTAGGCATATGCAATGAGAGTCTGTTTCTCACCGAAATGTGGTGTGCTCTAGACGTTTGTCTATTGGCTCTCTTATGCTCCGAGGAGGATTTACACTGATAGTTTTTTTAAATCCCTTCAAAAAACCACACATTCATTGTATGACATAACGTGGTGCAGAACGACCCGTGTAAATCTGCCTTTATTTTAAATTTTCTATTATTTTTTTGCTAAACTATAACATTTTTCGGCTAACTTGTACATTATTTGATTGAAGTGATAATAAATGGGCTTAAATGTCAAATATTAAATAGAATTAAACTTTTAAGTTAGTCCATTCGGTGTCGACATTTTCAAATACTAGTTAGTGTACATAATTTTCAGTGGGAAACAGATAACAAAATGTAGGTCAAACTATCGCACCGTGTAGATAATTTTATATTCTCTATTAATTAAGATTCGTGCTTTGAGCAAACGTTACGGTTTCAAGTTGTTCAAACCAAAATTTTGTTGTTATTGGTGCAAGTTGTACTACAATAATTTATTTTTAAATAAAATGTAAAAAATTTGCTTCTTGTTTTATTTTATGATATATTTGATAACACAAACGTCGACAAATTAGGTGATATAGTATAGTGCAATTAGGTTTATTCCTCAAAACCCAGCTATGATGAATGCATTTGACAGATATTGAATTTTTTGAAATTCTTATACAAAAAATTTCCAAGGACGACTTGATAGAACCTTGGTAATTATAAAAGGTATTATAATAACAGCTATAATTTTCTTAAAATAAATATTTGAAAATTCCGATAATTGTATTTTTTGTGGAGATTTCTGGACTCTTTGATTTTATTTTAAAACTGCGGTAATTTTTACTTGCGGTAATTTATTGGATATGGATTAAGCAAACAAAAATAACCCGAGTTAGCACTGTCAAATTTCTTTGTATGGGATGGAGCTGTACTAGTATATAATAATAATAATAATGTCCCCCTGACCGATTTCGGCCACGGCAGCCGATCTCATTGAGACTAGCCAACTGCGCAGGAGATATTATAGTGCACAAGTGTACGCGCAGACACAACGTGCACTCTCTATTCCTATCACATTCCATATCATATTCCACCAGTGAGTGTTAAGATGCAGGACCTCGATTGAACACTCCAACTTTCCAACTCCAGGTTGTTACTGAGAATTTCTTGACAGAAATACCCAGTAACTGAACTTGGCCCGACACGAGACTCAAACCCAGAACCTCTGGATCTGCCGTACCATGCCGTAAATGCTAGCCACTAGACAACCGAGGCAGTTAATAGTAATATGTTATCTGTGGTATATAAAGTATGTGAAAATTAAGATGAGCACAAACCTTGTATAATGAAAAACGCGAAATGTTATTTAAATTTCCCAGCTGCGTTTATAATCATTTCAATTTATTATTTCTAAGATGAAATGGATTAAATGAGGAAGTCTATTAGACGTTTAGTCGACCCTCAAGCCGTACGTATTCCGCGATAATCGCTGTCTATTTTAGTATCATGAATCACTACACAGATGGCAAATTGTGTCGAATGAAAATATTTAACTGTAATATTAGAATTTCTTTTGTATCTTTTATAGAAAGTGACATTCGACGACGAAAAATTTAAACGGATAACAAAAGTTACGTGAAATATATATGTACTAGCGGCTCACCCTCGGTTCGCTCAGGTTTGCCTCTAGGAAAACAAAAACAAACCTATTTATTCCACGGGAACCGTAATTTTTTTCCGAGATAAAAAGTAGCCTATGTGTTATCCCAGACTATAATCTATCTCTGTGCCAAATATCCAGATCCGCTCAGACGTTCTGGCGTGAAGGACTAACAAACATCCATACATCTATACTCACAAACTTTCATATTTATAATATTAGTATAGATTAAGTAATAATTTATGATAGAACCATATACACTGCAATAGTATTATGAATGTTAAAGAAACAAACAGTAACACTATCTTTGCTAAACGGTTTTCTCGGCCAACAGCGGCTATCGGTTTTGAATGCAATTTTTTAATCTTGAGGAAAAATGTTTTAAAAAATATGATGGAGCGGTAGGTAGCTTATATTTAACCATATTTCTAGGTCGTCGGAATAAAGTAGTGGCACACAAATCCCAACTTAATACAAGTATAGCTGTATGGAGCTAATTAGGCATCTTCGAAGTTTTCATTCTGTTTTTTACAGGAACGTTGGATTCAGTAAGTATGGTGGGCACAATGATTTATACTTGTGCTTACGGTGCAAAGAAGAAATAAGAAAGCATAGAAAAATCAAGTATATGTATATTAGAGGCTTATACAGGCTTAAATATAGGTAGTAGCAGAAACTTGAGATTTTAGATGTGTGTTTAAAAATAATAATTGAAATAACAATTAATTTTAACACCTACAACTAAAGCAGCTTGAGTTTTCTTTTTTCAACCTTATCTATACTAATATAATATTATAATATGATATGATAAAGAGGTAAAGTTTGTGAGTTCGTGAGTTTGTGACGTTGTAGGGGGTAAACGCTGGATCTACTAAACCGATTTAAATGAAATTCGGTAAGAAGATAGTTTGAGACGCTAGGAAGGACATAGGATACTTTTATCCCGGAAATCATCCCTTGAGGGGGTAAAAATGGGGGTGAATTTTTTTATTGGGAACAAGCTAGGGACGAACCCGAGCAAAGCGAGGGTGAGTCGCTAGTGAAAAATAAATTTAATAATTAATTAAATTAAAATTATTCTGGAAATAACTGCAGG